GGGTTGACTGTTTTGCAAAGTGCACAATGATGCCGGGAATTTTATCTGTCCGAGCTGGAAGCCTGTGCATCGCAACAATTTCGCTATCAGTGAGCACGGGCACACCCAGCTTTTCGGCCACCTGGTTGATTTTGTTGTTAAGGTTTTCGCGCTCAGGGACCGGAATTCCGTGGAATTCAAGATTCATCTTCCTGGTTTGCCACTCGAGTGCGTTTATGTCCTGCGTCATTTGTTGCACATTTACTTCTTTCTCTCGGTTTTCCATATTCGTCATCCTTTTCTTTAGGTCCTGATTTCTTTAGGTCCTGGTTCAACAATGGACTCCTGATTGTTGTCCTAAATCTGCCGTTTTTATGCTTTGTGTTGTTGGACTGCGTTTGCACAGCGACGCGCACCGCTTGAGTAGATGATTCGGTCCTGCAAACAACCGGTTATACAAAATTTCAGGGAAACATAAGTCACCACCGATATTTTCCTGTAAATCTCGTGCGAGTTTGTGGCGCTCATCATGCGGTGTGAATAAATTTGGGCAATATCTCCTACCTGCCCAAAGATGCATGAACTGATTCCATTTTTTACGTAGCAAACATACCGTAAAATACCGGGGAAGTGCCCACTCAAAATTTGGAGATAATCGCGAAAAATTAGGGGATGGGCGCTTGTCCGGTCATCAATTATAGATATCAATGTACACTGCATATTTCCTCAGATCTTACAAATTTGGGTATGGGCGCTTAGCGTGATATGGGCGGATGCGCGGTATTCTACGGTAGTGTTTTTTCTTTATTTTGGGAAGAGGCGTTGGTGAATTTATTATGGTACGATCACTTGAGAGTTCAGAAATTGAGGAGAGCGGACAAGCTTTCCGAACCTTGTCACTTTTCTCTCTGGCACTACCCTTGTTTCAGGTTGCAGTTTCAGTAGACATACCTTTAGAGCAGGTACAAACTGCTCTAAAGCAGGTAAAAGACTGGGAAGTCAAAACGGTGCAGACTCCGCGTTTCGTGCTTTTCGCAAAATGAGTGGGGAAGTGCTCTTGCGAGGTATGCAGAATATGCAAATGATTTTGTTATGCCCGTCGTTAGCGTCTCTCCAGTAAAACGAATAAGATGACCTAAAAAGCCGTAATCACAAGCAAAGATTTACGATTACAGTACACATTCAATTCAAACAACTATACGTAAGCTGGTTCGGAAGCCGAGAAAATTCTGTCGGCTAACGCAGAATTCGGACGTCCGAAGGCTTCTCCGGACAGCAGTTACGTAATGACCTGGCTGTGCCAGGTTTTTTACGAAACAGCTGTGTCTCAGCCGCCGACGTTCAGTGCACCCGGCGCGAATCTCGAAGGCCTCCGGTGCGAAATGCGGGAACATACTTGGACACGTTTGTCGCTACGCGAATGCTCGATTGCGTCCAACCAAATAGCAATCATCTTTTGGGGCGACATGGCTGCTTAAGGCTCGCTGTCATCACTCACTCATCTGGCTGCACTTGAGCTGACATCTCCAAAAAGTCAATATTTGCATGCACAAGCAAAAAAAAAAAAAAAAAAGCACGCTAAGAAAGCAAAGAGGAAAACGAAAGTAACAAACCGTGCTATGAAAGCCAAAACCCCACGTCGCTTCCTATCACAAACACCTGCAACAGCTGCTAAACACCCACTACTTCACCTCAGGAAGTCTCAGTCAATCACCTGGGTCAGCACGAAACACTGGTTACTTCGGCGAAACGACTATCGAGGTGGGCGAGACAGGCGGGAGCAGAGACTTCGGCGGCCATGAAAGTACGGTGAAGCTTTTGTTTGTTATGGTATGAATCCAAACGGAAGTGCCCGTTTTGTAAACCTTTTGTAAAGAATAAACATAATTTTTGAACTTAAAAATATGCCGCTCAAAAGAAAATCACAATGTATCACAGGGGTTTAACAACTAAGATCTAAGCTGTCAATCAATCTTTAGCCCGTGACAACAGTTGCTATGGGACGTCGCTCCATGACGTATAGCAGCCACTCCGTGACTTATAGTACCCACTTTGTGGCGCGCAATTTAAAGCAGATGAAATAGCGGTAAACTGAAATAAGTCTCAAGCAATAAATATTGCTGTAAACATTGTTTTCTTTTTTCGTGGAAAAATTGTTTTGAGACATGCTTGTCCCAATTAGGCTGTTTAAAAAAAACTTTTTTTTTTTTTTTTTTGCAGCTACCCTTTAAGAGGACATGTGCCTGAGGAAACTTTTATTTTTTATTTTTACGATATTGAAATGGAATTTTTTCAATTTATTGGGCTTAGTCTTCTCTTTATAAATCTGATGTTAGATTTGATATAGCTTTTTTCTTGGGTTTTTGATGCAATGTGCATGCAGAAAAAACTATGTTCTTGTGCACACATGAGGCATGGCAACACACTTAAAATAAACTTAGCTAAATAAACTAATTTGCTTGTTTTAAACCACTGAGTGCGATGAACAACGAAAATATTGTGTGTAACACTTTTTTTTTCATTTTAAAATAATTAAAAATAGCAAAACACCATTTCAGGGGCTAACAAACATTTCTTAAATTTTACATAAATATAAAAAAAATATGTTCAAACAAAACCTAGGTAGTTGCATTCTACATAGCTAAAGTACATGCATGCTAAATTTGATTGTGATAGGAAAATATTAAGAACAAAAATTCCTGTGCACGAACTGTGAAGGTGCCCCAAAATTACATAAAAAGAAATATGCGTTCGAATTTTACAACAAAGGTGTACCTACACTTTTTGGTGGTGCGCAAGTAATATTTTGTTAATAAATTTCATAGAGAAATTCAAGCTACAGAAGACTGCAATGAAGGGGAGACAACTGGGCCTACTTGTCTATGTAAATGATGGCGGGTGATCTCACAACTTGAATAACCACGCAGAGAAAAAATGAAAGCCATTCACATCTCCCTGTAACGCCGAATTAGAGCGCAGCTCTTGAGGAGGAGGAGGAGGAGGGAAGGGTACTTAGGGTCACCTGTTCTCGGGGGTGGAAAGGGGGTCACGGTTACCTTGGTGGGGGGGGGGGGGGGGGGGGGGATGTCTCGTGACCTCGGAGGGGGGGGGGGGGTCACGTAACCCCAGGTCACGTGACCCCACGTCACGTGACCCCCAGAAAAAAATTTTCCAGTAGATTTAACGAGGAAATTTTTCTGCTAGATTTAGCGGGGAATTTTTTCCACTAGATTTAGTGCGGAATTTTTTCGCTAGATTTGGCGGGGAAATTTTTTCGCTAGATTTTGCGGGGAAAGTTTTCCGCTAGATTTAGCGGGGAAATTTTTTCGCTAGATTTAGCGGGGAATTTCTTCACCAGATTTAACAGGAAAATTTCTCCGCTACATTTAGCGGGGAAATTTTTCCGCTAGATATAGACCTTTGCAGAAATCGCCTCTTGTGTGCTGCCATCTTTGTCTGCTGAGCTGTGGAAGCCTTCCAAGCATGCGCTGTTGATCTGCTGTGCAGTATATCGGACGCTGCGCACACGTCCACAGCTCAGTGACTCAGCATGTTTTGCCCGCTCGCTTTGTTTGAGACTGCCGCTGGAAAGGTCTATAGCGGTAAATTTTCCCCGCTAGAATTGGCGGGGAAATTTTTTCCGCTAGGTTTAGCGGGGAAAGTTTTTCCGCTAGATGTAGCGGGGAAATTTTTTCCACTAGATTTAGCGGGGAAATTTTTTCCGCTAGATTTAGCGGGGAAAATTGTCCGCTTTTTTCCGCTAGATTTAGCGGGGAAATTTTTCCGCTATGCTCTTTTTCACCTTATGATGCACAGAGGCTACAAGCGTGAGCTCCTTGCTTTGGGGCCCATCTCGGTGGCAACAGCTCTCGTAACTTAAGAGCAGCTGCCAACGCTATGAGCTCGCGCTTCTAGCCTTCGCTGCGGTACAACATAAGGTGAAACGAAGTATAGATTTAGCGGAGAAATTTACCCATAATGCACTGCGCGGTTACGTCGACGGCGACGCCGCTCAAGCCGGAAACGGGCGCCTAAGAGCTGCGCTCTAAACTGGCTCAAATTCGTGCCATTCTGGGTTGCCTGGAGGTTTTCAAAAACATATTTGACTAATTTTGCGATCATAATCGGCATTAATTATTTTTATACATCAAATATAAAGCTTCGCAAATAATAAAACACCATAAAACACAAAATCAAATTTTTGGCAAAATAATGCCGTTTTTCAATTTGCATCTTTCCTTAAGGCCTGTGTAGATGCCACCCAGGCGACTCTAAAAGGAAACAAATCGGAACAATCTTTGATTTGCTCAACCTAAATACCGTATTTATTCAAGTAATAGCTGCACTATTTATTAACAAGGGCCTTGCGTCTACTTTCTCGCAGAACACATATACAGCCAATCATCGCATTGCGCGTAAATAACATAGCGAATAACTAGATCGAGAACACTATTCTCCATACCAGTGCAATCTTCACATACGGTATCTTTGTGCCAATACGTTATCTCTGCCCCGTAAACCACTGCAATCATGCTGTTGATCACGGTGATTGGCAATCCTCGTGCTCCGCGGAAAAGCGAACCCTCTGGTTTTCTTTACAAACAGTGCGGCTATTACTCGAGTAAATATGGTACATTCCTGATCATACTTATATAGTTCTGTCGTTAACGGATCCACTCACCATGGTTCAGCATTTCACCAACATCAAAAACGATGCCACTAGGTAAGCTTCTGCATGCAAACAAATTGCAGGAGTGGTGGAGGCTGTTAATCACCACGGCTAAACACAGATTACCGGAACTGGAAAGGCGTTTCGTGAAACCGCCTTATAGTTCAGACAAAGGCACGGGCGCATGAGCCTAGCTCAGCAGACTTTGTTTGTCTGAGAGCTTGCGCATAGAAGGCACTTTCTCAAGCCACTTGCTCGTGCCGGTGCCTTCCTCAGTGCTCTGATGTCGTAGCGAGATGGAGTATAGACAAGGAATCATGACTAGAGTCATTCAGCGGTGTCTGCGCTGCAGGTTGCCGAGACCCGGAGAAGGGCGTGCTGCTCAAGAAGCTCATCCAGACGGACTACTTTAGGGTTACTGTGGTTGACGACATTCCCACCATCGAGGTCTGTGGAGCACTGAAGGTAGGTGGCGTCTTTACAGGTTCCCACACTGTCCTCTCTGGCTGTTGAGATGCCGGTGTTTCTGAATTCCAAATTTATGTCTGAAAGCTTGTTTACAACGTAAGTACTGGTCTTAGCAAAAAGCTAACAAAAGTCAGACGATACTGGGCCAACCTGCTTCACGTATCAATTCTCAGGAGCCCGACGGCATAATAAGCTGTGCCTAGCAATTGAAAAAAAAAAAAAAAAAAAAGCAGGGGGATTTTTGTAGTCCCATTCGCCCGTCTTATAGATATAAGCTTTTTCCTAGTCCCAACAGATTTCTGCAGTAAAATACCAAGAGAGTCAGAAATCATGCAGCGAGTGGTGGGATTTCAATCGTCCAGATACTGGAAACCACAGCTATTCTCCTATTTTGACTCTTTTTTTTACCCTTAGAATAATAGTATACTGTTTGAGCTTATGCACCTTCACTACCCAACAGGAGTGAGACATCACCTGTGAGGGAGGTTTGCTGCTGCAGTGCACTCTGTATACATTGTTCTCTTGGTCATAATGCTTCTGCATCATACTTGTGTGTCGTTTTTGCATTTTACGTTTTCACCGCATTACCTTGCCCAAAACATATTCATTATTCAATGTTTTATTTCTCTACATTTTGCTCTCTGGTGTCCTTTCACATTCAGTGTACAATTTATGCCTGTACAATCAGTAACTTGTTTTGAATTGAAAAGAGAAAAATATTTATTTGTCTCATTTGAGGTATTGTTGTGCAAGAAAATATTCCCCAAAAGTTCACTGTCACGGTGAGCTACAACTTGATACCTTGGGGAACCCACATTTGCATATGTACAGTGACCCGGCAACACTTTTACAGATAACACTCTGTAGAAAGAGAATTTTTTACCACTGTAAACAGCGTATGTATATTTGCAAGCTTACACATATTTCACAAATTGACCAAGGGGTGGTTTTTTCTTTCGTTTCGTGAAAGCGAGATTTCGCAATTCTGGACAAGCTCATCCACGGGCCCTTGCGTTACGTAATTGAAAAAAGCAATAGAATCGCACAACAAATTTTTCGCAACAGTTTCTGTTTTGCAAAAACGAAGTCGCCCCAAAGTATGAGTAGGCTGCTGTAGTTTTTTAACGCAGAACGCGTTTTAGCGCTGGGTTTTACGAGAAAAGCAACACGTTGCACTCCGGCATTCCTCGAGGTCGCTCTACGTCATGTGACGTCACACGCGGTACGTTTGCAGATCATTGGCATCACGTTCCGCATGCCTCAAACTTCATAGAGATCCACTAATCGTCGTCTTGTCTTTTCCCGGTGGCGGGGCAGAACATAGTGGCGGTGGGTGCCGGGTTTGTGGACGGCCTGGGCTACGGGGACAACACAAAGGCGGCGGTGATCCGGCTAGGGCTGATGGAGATGATCGCCTTTGCGGACACCTTCTACCCTGGCGCCCGGCTGGGCACCTTCTTCGAGAGCTGCGGGGTGGCCGACCTGGTGACCACCTGCTACGGTGGTCGGAACCGCAAGGTGGCCGAGGCCTTCGTCAGGTCCAACAAGGTGGGCTCTCTCGCCCCAGTCAATTCGTCGGGTCGCCGGCACCCCTGAAACAACGACAATTGGCCGTCTCTCTGGCACTTCCCAAAAGGCGTTCTAAATGCGTGGCGTTTAAAGGGACTCTTCAGTCTTCTCATGTCGTGGAACACAATCATGTCAATACTGCAGATGGGACGAGTTGGTAAGGCATCATTACGAACCAGCGCACAGGTAGACAGTTACTCAAAATCCAAACATAGAGAAAAATACACTCTCACAGCGCTGAACTATCAACTGATTTGTATTTCAAACTTCCTCTTCTTCGACCCCATGGAATAGGTTGCCAAGGAAGAATTTCTTTGGCAACCTCTTCCGTGGGGTCGAAAAAGAGGAAGTTTGAAATACAAATCAGTGTATAGTTCAGCGCTGTGTGAGTGGATTTTCCTGTGTGTTTGGATTTTGAACAACTGTCTATGTGTGCGCTGGTTCGTAATGACCAGGGCCGTAACCAGGGGGGGGGTTAGGGGGTTCTGACCCCCCCCCCCGAAATTTTTTTCTGGGTACGGCCCTGGTCGGTGCACTTGCAGCCAGCCGATTTTAATCTCCACCTCTGCGCACGCGCAGTGGCACCGGTCGGCTACCGGGTACCAAACCGGGACCGGTTTTTCGGTTTGCTATAACTCTCCATTATATGCTACCGATGCACATGATTCATAGGCGAAAATAAGACAAAATGGCCGCCGTTGTCCCCGAAAACCCCCCCCCCCCCCCCCCCCCCCGAAATTTTTTTCTGGGTACAGTCCTGGTAATGACAATCATGTCACTTCACATCGCTGTGTCACGTGACGTCATGTTGTCACGTGACTTCCCGACACTGCGTGTCTTTATAATGCCACCTAGTGTCATGTGTCTTGACTTGACGATGTCGTGTCTCGACTTGACGATGTCGTGTCTCCAGGCGACATTACACCGGGTCACGTCACGTGACGGCGTGACGATGCATTTAGAGAGACGTCGCAGTATCACTTGACACTGCGACGTCCTCAAGAAGTTGTGCTAAATGGACCCCAAGTCTCTAAAGCTAGCCCTATGAATACTATGCATTTGATTAATATTTTTGCACAAACCACCATAACCACGGGCGAGATAAGAACACCGGGGAGGTCCCCCCAGTCGTCCCGCCTCCGGTGTGAGCTTTCTAATCTACCGCATTCATCCCTAAGCTAACAGTGCAGTGTGACCTATGTGCTCACCAGAACGATCGACAGCCGCTTGATGCTGCTCTCCGAGCGTGGCTACTAGTGGTAATGTAATCATGTGCCAAAAGATAACACTTACGACTGGTCCAGCAAGCATGTAGCTTTCATCACACTGTCCCCTTAACCTTTTCACGACCTGTTTATTTTGTTTCCAAAAGATGTGTCCAATGGGTTAGTATATTTTCCAAAGGAATACCGTATTTACTCGAAAATAGGTCGAACCCTATTTATTGGATTCACCGAGAATAAAACAAAAATATATCAAGTATAGGTTGACCTTTTTTTATTTTTAAGAACAGGGAAAATTTTGGGCAAAAGAAAGAAACAAACCTTTATTTACATCAGTCTCAGCTAAATCACAGGGCGATGGCAAAAACTTAATCACCGTCAGAACTTCCTGACATGTCATCGTCGTCCAAAGCTTCGTCAGCTGGGTAGACATCCTCGCAAATTCGCAACAATACTTCACTGACACTGTTGTAAAATGACGACAAGAAAAAGCGAAAGAAGGTGCGAAGCGACGAAAGACAAACTACAAAGACGCAATCAAAGCCGTCGTGTCGCCATGAGCAACACGCTCGCCGAGCCGCCTCAAGCAACTAACAAAAGTAACATCTTTTTTTTTTTCTTTTTTTGTGTGCGTTTGCGAGGACGGAGGGCAAAGTGCATGGCGCATCGCGTTCCTCTCCTTCCCCGCTGCCCAGCAAGGGGAACGCTAGAGGCGCGATGGCGAAATCCGACGCCCGAGGGGTGCGCGCAATAGCGGCACCGGCCACCGCAGGCGGCGGACCATTTCGGTTGTTTACCAAAAGCTTTTTGAAACAAGAAGCGGTGCGGCTCTACGGCAGCACCGGCTCAATGACTCGATAGCTTTACGCCTCCGGTAGGGTCGCAAAATTTGGTCGCGAATGTGGGTCGAAATTCTTTGGTCACGATTTCCGAAAAAGAAAAGGTCGACTTATATTCGAATAAATACGGTAGTACAAAAAAGTGAAAGCCGTTTACAACTCCCTGTAACGCTGAATTAGAGCGCAGCTCTTGAGGAGGAGGAGGGTAGGGTACTGGAGGGGGTGAGTCAAATGACCTCGGGAGGTGGGGAGGTCACGTGACGATGACGATGCCGATGACGTCATCAGTGACGTCACTGATGACATTATCAGTGACGATGACGATGTGGATATTGATGACATCATCAGTGACGTCACTGATGATATCATCAGTGGTGATGATGATGCGGATGCTGGAGACACCATCAGTGACAATGATGTCATCGGGGGTCACGTGACCTCAAGGGAGTCACGTGACCTCGAGGGGTCACGTGACCTCGGATGAAGGGGAGGGGGGTCACGTGACCCGGGGGGGGGGGGGGGGGATGGGAGGGGGCTTGCACGGTGCATTATGGAACATTTCTCATAATGCACCGCGTGGTTACGTTGACGGCGACGCCGCTCAAGTCGGAAACGGGCCCCTAAGAGCTGCGCTCTAAAAACGTCATTGCACAGGTTAGCCTACTGTACAGGTTAGCCTAATGCACAACTTAGCCTACTCAAGCAGCATCATGTTTACGGTGGCCACAAAAGACTCGTGATCAATGACGGAGGTGATTTCCCCTGGAAGGCTACTCCAATCCAAAAGGGCTAGGAGAAGAGGCGAATTTTTGAACATGTTAGTTTGTGCATATATGGGGTTAATGTTAAAAAGGTGATCTAAACGGGGCGATATATGGTGAGCTGGCTGCAAGAAAACATCTTTAAAAGCTAAAGAGCTATGATATAGTTTGTGAATAAATGATAAGCATGTAAGATGCCTTCTTCTATGAATAAGTGATAAGTTAAACATACCAAAGCAAATTGTTGTGTGTATGTTTAAACAGCCAGAAGTTAGTCTGCCTCAGTGGGCGCCTGGTGTCTCAGCTGTAAATGAGCAATTTAGCCAGTGCAGTACAACCGCTAGCCTGGGGTCTTTAACGTGCACCACGCAGTTGTGATATATGACGGCACGCCGGTACGATGCTCCTCCAGATCGAAACGGGCAGGGGCGGGGTTGAGCCCAGGATCCTGGGTTTTGCAGCGCGAGCTTTCGCTCCACGTGCTCCGAGCTGGTTTGCGCTAGACCACTCGGCCACGGATCCCCTCTAAGTTAAAGATAAGCTGAAGCAGTTTTGTATTTGAGGAAACATGCTTAAATCATCTTCGTTTGACCACCAGGATCTTGGATATCGAAGTTATGTTTTGATTTGGTCCATGGAAGGTGCAGAAAATCATTTTTAAAGCATGCTCGTTTCATAGTTTGTGACTACTCCCCCTTTATTAGCATAACCAGTATAAAACATTGACTTAAAGGGAAGCTGAAACACTTCTTCCAAAAAATGAGAGTGAGGCTGATTGTAGCGTAGTTTTATCCCATGGATCTGAATATCACATTCCTTTTCCCCGAAGATGTATCTAAATGCGAGAAACAAAAAAAAACATCTGACCAGTCGTTACGGGATAAGAGGATCTTTCCACTGTCAAGTGCTTGTCATGACATCATGGCAGCAGTCATGACGTCTTTTTCTGCTTTTTTTAGAAAGAAACCAAAAGTGTGTGTGCATAGCTTTGATAAGCGCTGAAGATGAGTGAGAGCAGAGATTCCGAAAAGTATTTTTGTGACGTCACACTGCGGGAAGGAGGGCCTCCTTCCCGGAGTGTGACTGCTAGCGGAGGGCTCGGCGGTTGACGCGGCCACCCGGAAGATAAAAAAAGCCAGCTTGCTCTGATAGCTGGCTTTCCCCCAATGCAGCCGCTGCATTCCTTAGGGAAAAGCCAACTTGCAGAGCAAAATGGCACTCTGCTGGAGAAGATGCTCCAGCTTGGACGTGCTCCATGCTCTTGGCATAGTTCGGCGCTAATGCGCGAATATAGAAGGCAGCGGCCTCAGCACTTTGGAGTCCGTCGATAGTATAGAAAAATATCATTATTGCAGATGCAATCAAGGAAAGGCAGAAGATGCAAGACTATTTCATTGTGTAATATGTCATCAGAAAGTGGATTTTTGAGAGTCAAATTCATTAAAACTTTTATATCAAATTACTCTCTATATTGAACTGGTAGACGTTTTTTTGTAATTCAATATAAACGGGTTTGACTGTAAGGGGAGGTGTTAATAAAAAAGAGTCTCCAACACTAGAGGCCAGCGTTGATTTGAGCATGATTTATGGTGCTGAATTTGAGAAAAAAAAAGTTAATTGCCCTGTTTTTGATGTATTTGAAATTGCAGTCCATTGAAGAGCTGGAGAAAGAAATGCTGAATGGTCAAAAGCTCCAGGGACCAGAGACAGCAGAGGAAGTGTTCACCATGCTCAAGAACAAGAATATGCTGGACAGGTCAGGCTGATATTGCATGCCTCTTAATGTTTTCTAGAGTAACTGCGGTGGTACTGCTACTCACTTTTGCCTTAAAGACCATCATTGTACAGAAAGGACAGGAATCAGTCCTTCTCCCTTCATCCACTAGCTCCTTAACTCTTGGCATTTTGGGCCAAAAGGAGAGCATGAAAAGGAACAGAGCTAAGGAAATTGAGGAAGACAGATATGGATCGGCTTGATATGTTGACCCCTAAAGGGGACCACAACGAACACTAAAGGCAGCTTCCCGTAATTGCATTTGAATACAATCGACTGTATTGCGACGGCTTGTAAACGCTTTTGGCGATAGTACCGTATCTACTGGCACCTATCGGATAGCCTTGGAACACTTCCAGTCTGCATACGGTTAGATTGAAGGTTTGGCAGCATTCGTAGGATCAAATGTATGCACAGTCTATGAAAAAGTCTCTTAACCCTTTAAGTGCCAAATTTGTTTTCCAAAAGTAACTTAACAGTGACATCTTTTTTATTTATTTTTTTTTATTTTAAATTGTTATTTCTCTAGTATTGCACATAAAATATGAAAAGTATATTATGCAAAAATGAGCGGAGGCGAAAAAAATATTTGCCAGCTAAAACGAGTGCTGCCATCTATGATCAGCGCCATAAAACTACTCGGACGAGCCTACCTAAAAAAAAACAGTGGACGAGCTGAGCTCGTCCACGGCATTTTTAGCCAAGAAGTGGCCTACGAGCTCAGCTCGTCCAAGGCACTTAAGGGGTTAACTTGTCCAAATCGTTTTTAAGCACACGGGGAAAGAATGATGCGTAAAATATGTGCAGATCGGAACTGTTCCAGAGCTACTTGTTAGACAACGCCTCAGTGTCCTCTCATAAATTGTCACAACCTGTTGCAGTCGCAGTTGATCACACCCAAATGCAAATGTGTGAGTTAGCTTTTAGAACGAACCGGGCCAATGCAGCTTTTTTGCTTGCTGCGTGTTTGAGGAAGAGTAAACATACATACCTAGGTGCTGTTCCCAAGAAAGATTGCCCTATTTTTGAGTAAATTAGTACCTCTCCAATGCCCGCATTGCATGCAGATAAATTTTGTTAGTACGCAGTACAGTGGCACCCCGTTTATGCGACTTTCACGGGACCATGCGAAAAGATTGTATGATCTGCGAGTCTTATATTCAAGCAAGAAATGATTACAACTTTCGGGCTCGGCCCCACTTGACAGAAGTATGCCAAACTTGTACATTTACTTCTATGCTAATAACCTGCTGGACGAAAAAGAGGATAAAGCAATCAAATAAGTAAAAACAAAATCAAGGTGTGGTGTGGCAAACGTGCTAGTAAGATTTTATTTTCACCTCGCTTTGTTCTCGAAGAAGTGTTCAGTAGTTTCCTTTCGGATTCCGCGGTCCAGCTTCTAAAAGCGAGTGAGTCGCGCCGTCGGGTCGTATGCAAACCGTCGAACACCATCAAAATATGATATTTATGGCAACGCACATAGCCTTGGCACCTGCGACACATTTGCCTTCGTTCTAAGTATTGGCATCAGGTAGTAGTTCCTTTTCTGACGATTTCATAGAGTGGCAGTGCATCATGAACGGTGGTGTTGTAGTAGATGTTTGACAAGGTCCACAAGTCGCAATGAGTTGACATGCGCACGACACCCTGTTTTTCAAGAGCATGTTAACTTCTGCGGAGCATGCAGAAATCATAAGCAGAAGATACGCCGAGATCCGATGCCTTTTTCGCTTTTCGATAACATAACATGGCATGAGCTACGACCCCTCGAGCGTGACCACACGAGCAGATGGATTGCGGTGCAACAGTGCATTCTCAAAGAAAGAAACAACAAAAAAGGAGAAAATGAAAAAGAAACGAAAAAATCTCAAAGTGGGACGTATCATGGGAAAGTGAAAGAAGATGTGATTGGGTGGAGGTGAAGGGGGCAAAAACTATGAACAACCAATAGCAACACCGCCAACAAGGAAGATTGAACAAAAAACAGCCTACACCGGGGGTGATTGGGTGGAGGTGAAGGGGGCAAAAACTATGAACAACCAATAGCAACACCGCCAACAAGGAAGATTGAACAAAAAACAGCCTACACCGGGGGTTCTCAAACTTTTTGGCCCCATGGAACCCCAGGAAGCTTCAAAAGCTGCCGCGAAACCCCCTCCTCCATATCTGCCGTCTGAGAATTAACAGATGCACAATTGTAGGCAATTTTGCTTGTGTTGCTTCCCTTATATCCCCACTATATCAGTTGCACTGTCAGTACAAAATGAGATGAAGGTGCTTTGCATGGTCCTGCTGCACACCCTGCGACATGGGGGGAGGGGGGGTAGGGGGGGTTGCAATTTGGGTGTTCGCGGAACCCATGAGACCAGCTCGTGGAACCCCTGCGTTTCCCGGAACCCAGTTTGAGAACCCCTGGCCTACACGATGAAAGGAGGAGGATACATCAGCCAGCACAGCCACGCAGTTTTGTTTTTTCTGTTTTGTCTGTTTTTTCCGGTGACGTGGCATGCTAGGATTGATGGAAGATGCTGGATGCTCATATTCACGCGTGAAATCTGAACTTCTGATGCATTGTTTCTATGGGGAGTTCGCTGAGCCCACGCCAACTCGTCGAAAATGCGGGATGTCGCATGAACCGTGGATGCATGACCTCGTAACTGTGGTTTGTTTTCATTGTCTTGCCTCGTACCGTAGCAATCCCTAATACGAGGGGCTGCCGGATTGAGGTGGCTCCACCTGCTCACTGAGTAACTTGCTGCATCTTTAGTTATGGACTAATAGTTGGCCGACTTTCTGTTGCAGGTTCCCTTTGTTTGTTGCCATTCACCGAATATGCAGTCACGAGATCGCACCCAGCGAGATGATACAGTGCATCAAGAATCACCCAGAACACATGTAAATATGCCCAGCCCACCCCCTGCCGACACTCACGTCCTCTTCACGCCTTGTTAGGCAAAATTGGGAACTTTCTAGTCTGCAGAGCAACTAGTCACCCTCCTGTCCCCAGCGACGGTTGTTGTCTCACTTTTGGCAGCATTTTGATGCTAGAGCGATCCATATCGTTTGTCGTAGGATAGGGACGTACCCTTTCAGTTTACAAACCGTTGTACGGAATGTTATCCCGGAGACAGCTTTGTTTGGACAACCCTTAGCATAATTTTTGGTGTCCCGCAGTTCTTGCGTCTACCGAGCATAAAATTTTCTTTGATACTGACGATGAAATAGGTTTATTGTCCTCATTACAGTTGCTGTTGTTTCTCTGCAAATTAGGCCTGTGATAGGCAAATATGAGTATTTTTTTGGAAAACACGCCCACTCTGTTACTGCAGTCTGTTGAAGCGATGAAACGAGAACTGTGACAGCTAAAAATGCGAAGGGGTGCTGCTAGCTAGACAACGATGCAAATGATTGCGTATCTATGTTGCTTGTTTTCTTGATGCTGCGACACATTTTTTTTAATGAAGTGCTTACACTCAGATTGTAAGACACCCTCCAATTTGTATTTTCGTTAGGCAATAAATTGTGGTATAATTAATCTGAACGCATGCAATAATTAGTCCACAGATATGCAGCAATTTTATTTTCTATCACTACAGCTACAATACTTAGTATGAGGTTACTGAATTGCATACAATTACAGTTGGTGACAGAGCCAGGGCCCGGTAGATGCTCCACGCCCAGAGCACGCTCTTTGCCTTTTGCCAAGTCTTGGCTGTACGTGAGGCAGAGGGTCATCAAAGGCAGAAAGCTCGTGTCTCAGGCAGAGCGTCTATTACTGGGTTATTAGCCTGTCACCGACTGTAGATAGATGCGAGTGTTGCTACACTTTAAAGTGTCCTTGTGATAGAAAGACTACTTGTCATGCTCTGGATGCTCATTAAAGTGGCTTCTTTCCACTGCTATTGCTTTTTAAAGTTATTCTCTGGACCGTCAAATGCTGCACTTTATGCTGGCTTTCTTCTCTACCTTTGTGCTTGCCTTCTTTTCTGCTTTTGGCTTATTGCTCACTGTTATTACGCAAACAAAGCATATCTTGACAATCATACCTTGTTGCACCACGGGTGTCATGACCTAGGAATAATGATATGCTCCCTTCGGGGTGCTTCCTGAATTCTATACTTGCATGTTTTGCTGGGCACGCATAAAGAAGTGGCTTGCTTGCAAAACGCTGCTGTCCTGTTTTCCTTTTGTTGGCACTCACTATTTCTTGGCCAGAACTTGCCAGAAAGTATTCTGTGATCATTACCATGGGTGTCTTTGCATGTGCACATTGTTGATGTTTGTAAACATTCCCCGTCTTTATTTTGTTTCCTCATTATTCTTTTTGTTTCTCAAAATAATCTTTCCAGTTCTGCAAATGGGCTTTTTTGCACAGACAAGCGACACTTAACGCAAACAAAGGACCACCATTTTTTTTTGTCTTGGAATTTAAGAGTTGTCATCACAACTATTACCGTAATGTGGTGGAAGGTGCTCATTTCAGACCATAACCTAAGCGGTGAAATTGGTGCTCCCGAATAACTTTTCTTAGTAAAATGCAAAGAGAGCGCCAAGGTTGTATCCCGCAGTGTACATTGAAGGGATGCATGCTTTGGTTGTTAACCTATTCCCTTCTAAAACAGCTACTTATATAAGTGCTAATCTCAAAGAAAATATTTGTTGATGTTAAGATTGAGTTAGGAGGCACCAGCACCCCATTATCCTAAGAAACATGAAGTTAGAGCTACCATTCTTTTGTACTACCTTGCTGCGAGGTTATGGCAGTAAGCAAACTAGCATTTGTGTTTGTTTGAGCTTTACATAACTCTCCAATATTTGCAAGCAAAAACATTTTACTTGTTTTGTTGAGTGCCGCCAAAGCGATGGAGTGGTGGTAAGGCACTCATTTTTTTTTTTACCATAAGAGCATACATTATGCACCTCAAAATATCTCTACCCCTAATTATATTTTGTTCTTTGAAAGACCTAAGAACACTTGTATTGCTGAGTGCACACATTTTGTTTCCATTTCTGGATATGGATGCAATTGTACATTTATGGATGCAATTGTACACTGAATTGCATCCAGTGTACAATGACATATTGACTACAAGGACAGCATCAGACCTTGCAGAGCAATAGGCTGGTTTGCACATTTGTGTTTTAAGAGTGATTGGGTGTGTTTAACTCGTTTGTAACAGCTTATGATGAGAAAACATGCACGCGGACATTCTATGAGGCAGCAATGGAACACTTCCCATCCACTGATATACTTTCAAATTTTGTGCGGGTCATTCCAATTTACTTATATATTTTCAAATTTTGTATGGGTCATTCTTTTATTATGAATTCAAAATGATTCTGACGATGTTGTAAGAGACCATTTCTCATAAGTAGTGCATAGCTTTTATCTCGGATATATTCCAAAATTTTCAGTCTATATATGAATGAATGAAGATTTTTATTGATGGAAAAGGAAGGAAGTTACGCTAGGATCCCTATCATTTGGTGAAAATGTATTTCGTAGACAACTTTTTGTGGACATGTGCTCCATGGACACTCAATTCCTCGACACTATGTTTCATGGAAGCTTGTTTCGCGGAAGCGAAGCTCATTCCTTGGACACATGCCATTGCGACATTTCATGTACAACAAATACTTTTTTTCCTCTACTAAACCGCTAAATGCTAGTGCGTGATTTACTGAGGCGTGTTTACCCAAGCCTTGGCCCCTCCCCTCCAGGCGAGAAACAAAGTTTGTTGCGAAAACAGCAGGATTGCGTTCAACGATAATTCTCAAGATCTGTCAGTGAGGTGTCGTTCGACAAACTGATTGCCGCCAGTTGCGCTATGGCATGGCCTGACAAGAAAAGAAAACTTTAAACATTTTACTGAGGTTCGGTATCTCTAGATAGGAGACTACAGACTTTAGCAGTTGGAGTTTACTTTCTTTATCACACAAAGGCTCTATCGATACTTGTACTAGTATATCTTTTGGCTTGTCTCAGGGGTTTAGAGTTGCAAGTGTTTCATCCCTTTCTGAAGCATTTACAGTACCATAGAAAATGGTCCTGTTTGGATGGTGTCCCTTCTCTGCAGAAAGTATGTTCTGGTAATTCTGGCGAGAATTCTGGATCTCGTCAAATCTTTTTTCATGTCTCCCATCGGAAGTTTTGCAGCAGGCGCAACGTTCTTGTCCACACTTAATCGCAAATGTGTGAACCAGCCGTGATGCCGGGGGGGAAGAAGCTCTACTGGTGCAGACTAACTAAACAACTGTTTAATGTATGTGCCATACTGACCATCACTCATGACCACTCTGAATGCTCACTGGAATGCTCAAAATTCTGCTTTTAAATCAAAGTAATTTGCAGCTGTCAAGCTACAATTGCAGAAGGCTTTAAGAAAAGAATTACTACTACCAAGACCAATCGCGAAGGGTCAGAAAATTATGTTTTAATTATTTTATTCGGTATAAATAACCTTGAGAAACGGTGGAGTGCCTCTTTAAATGAAGCTAGAGACTTGCGTTAGATCTTCACTGCGGATGATGCGGTACACTGTCGTGGAAGACAGAAGCGCGTGGCTTAGGCACCAGCAGGCTGGTTGGACCCCAAGGAAAATGGCTTTTAAGATGAAAATGCCCGCATTTGGCCTTTTTGCAGACTGGTAAAACATTTACTTCGTTGTACAAACTTGACCTGTTTGCATACTCTTGATGTACTTGATATTTTACTAGAGCTATAGCTACTACTAGGTATGATATCTTTCAAGCCACAATCGTCTCAGTTTTTGTTATTTTGAAGGATTCATCCATTTTCCTCCCAGCTTGCTATCAGCCGAGTTCTTACCATGTGCTATTGAGTGAATTTTATAAATACGAGGGGCATTCAAGTTGCAAGGTTTTCCCTTTTTTCTCTCGATTGTAAGTGGCTGTAGGCATGAGGAGTGTCTTAAAATATGTGGAGTAATGTTGATAATGAGTGCGAGGCACAGTAATACCGTATTTACCCGCACAATGAACGCACTCGCGTAATGAACGCACCCCCAAAGTCGGCTCTCAAAATTTCGACTTTTTTTTTTTTTTTTTTTTTTTTCACTTGCGCATTAAACGCACCCCCAACTCGGACGTCAAAATTTTGACCCCCTCCCCCCACGGAAGCAAGAAAAAAAAAAACGGGAGAGCTTTTCTTTTTTTTTTTGTGCACAGCGCAGTCTAGACTTTGGGGTCGCGCGCCGCGCGCAAGGAGGTAAGAAAGAAGCGGAGAAGCCCTCTAAGGCTTAGAGGGCTTAGAGTCTAAGCAAACAAAACGGCTTGCGAAAGGCGGCACAAAAAAACAGGGAACTAAGGAAAAAAAAAAAACAAAGGAGCTTTTTTTTTTTTTCTTTTTTGCACAGCGCAGTTTGGTTAAGGGGGCCGCGCGCAAGAAGGTAATAAAGAGAAGCGGAGAAGCCCTCTAAGCAAACGAAACAACTTGGGAAAGACAGCAAAAAAAAAAATTTCAAAATTAAAAAAAAAATTTTTTTGTTTGTTTTTTACAGCGCAGTTTGGTTACCGGGGCGGGGGGAGGGGGGAGGGGAGATAAGAATTTACGTCGATTTTTCAGTATAAAAGGTCCCTTCATTATGCCGAGTAAATACGGTATTGTTAAAATCATGAGAGGCTTGTCCCGTCTGGTCTCGCCCTTGCTTCAGACACTAAAACTTGTGAAGTTCATCTTGAGAGAATGGCGTGCTGATTGTTTTCTGCACCTGCATGGGATCAGGCAAATTTGTCCCATGATAATGGCACAAATGGTGGTTTCATTTTGTTAGTTATCACACGTAATGGGTGACGAACGCAGCTTTTCAATCCCTAGATCAAACGCCAGTTGCAGCTATCCAAACACTGCGACTCTCACCACTGAAAAACTTTCGCACTACCATCAATGTGGAGGAAATTGTTATGAACATATTCTGGGATAGTGAAGGCGTCGTCCTCATCAGCTGCATACCAAAGGGAACAATGGTGACTGCTGCATCCCTTGTTGGCGTTATTGACGAAACATTTCTTCCCACATTGGAGAAAACTGACTGGAAAAGATTGCAGTTGTGATCTTCCATCGCAGCAATGCTTCGGCTCTTCGGGCAAGATGTTTTAAAAGCTTCTCTCTATGAGAACACCTTTGAACTGGTTCTTCAGGCTCCCTGATCCCGTGACGTGTTCAGTTATTTTCGGCTGTTTTTGACCGTGAAGGCCACTCTCTGTGGTAGAGCATCTAGCATTTTCAAGGCACTCTGCTGTTGCCTCGGCAGTTTCCCAGTGGTCTGGACAGACCCCCAAGGAAGCCTTTGCAGCAGCCGTGTCGTTGTAGCGTCGACATTGCAAAAAACCATATAGGACTACAAGAGACATGACAATGTTTCTGCTGCTTGTTACAACTGCTTGATAGTTATTTATGAATTATCATAAATTAGGAGACCTTAAAACTTGAATGCCTCTTGTAGAACCATGATCGATGGAGAAACTCTTTGGAGGACTCCTACGACTGGGTCTTGGTTAAACTCCTTGGCGATGCTTGACACTAACATGGGACTGAATAAACTTTACTTCCAGGAATCCTGAGCGTGACATCGCGTCCAACCTTTAAGTCCCCCGTTGAGAAACCTAGCCCGGCTGCGAGAAGCCTCGCACTGAAAGGCCATGTGGTGCGCAGCTTCTCAATACTCGCTACAAGACATTGCTTTTGCTAAGAGTTTTTATATTTCCACATCAAAATGTTCTTTTGTAGCCTACCATGGCATTGTACCATCATTTGCACATCTCGAGGTTTATCTGTTCAGGAGTTGGTCCACTTTTGTCCGTGTGCGGGGTCGCTCGACCAGGTGTGCATGCAGCCTCCAAACTTGGTCCGGCTTGTTTTTGAATCGACAGGTGGGGACCACTCTCATCTGAACAAAGATGTAATGGGAGTTGCACGGTAATGTTTGATTTTAGAGGCAATTCCCATGTGCCAAAGTACAGTTAAGATACCTCGCAGGCCTTTGAGAGAGTACTTTTTTCTTTGGTACTTATTTAGGAGAGTGTATGTTTTAGGTTGATTTTAGCTCGAGATAATTTCAATTTACCTTGAAAGTCCGGACTTGCAGTAAAGGCATACTAAATTGAGTAGTTTACTGCAAGGCCCTTGTCAGCTATACTGAGGGAGTGGTGACAGAGGGCGTGCGGTATCCACCTCGTGCCATGAAACTGACAGTCTCAAAGCTTAAAGTCGCGGTGCGGTACCTTTGGAGATGAGGGTTTACATTGTGCAAGCAACTTTTAGGCTATTTTCACCATTTATATGCCTCCGAAAGATTGAAGGTGCTTGTTAATGTAGTGCTTAGTTTTGGCATGCCTTCACTAACCATTTTCAGGTTATCAAGGGGCATTAGAACCTACTCATGTTTTGTTATTGTGTACTTGGCTGTGCATGAATGACACTGTTGTAGATTTATGCTTGTTATGAGTGGTTTGGTGCCTCTGGTACTTGTTTTTTTTTTTGTTGTTGTTAAAATAGGCTTTGTTTTTGTGCAAGGGAGAACTTTTAGTTGTTTTTGGTGACATGCAGCAAGCGAAAACATTACGCATGATAACAGTAGAACCTCATTGATGCATCCTCGGTCTATATGTTTTCCCGACTAGTATAATCACAATTGCCAGTCCAAATGGAACACCTGGGGGTATATGTACCGATTTCCTGTTAATTGCCTTTGCCTTCCCGGCTGTTGAGTCCAGAAACTGTCGTCTGACATGACCGGCACGACGCATTGGGGCACTTGGCCGTGGCTGCCCTCTTTAATTTTGCTCCAGCCGACAGATTTACCTACCCGGTAAGTGTAAGCAAATCTGGGAGCTGGCGAAGGCCAGCTCCCAGATTTGCTTACACTGCATCGATCCCTACACTGCATCGATCCTTACGTGGATCGATGCAGCGTTTACCCAGCCTCAGAGTCCCCCGCCCCCCCCCCTCTCTCTCTCTCTCTCTCTCTCTCTCTCTCTCTCTCTCTCTCTCTCCCCCCCCCCCCCCCCCCGTAAACCAGGCAATGTGTCATTCATGTAAATGTGCCAATGAGTGTGCCGAAATCGAACCTGCTGACTTAGTCCACAAGATTTTCCGAATACGCACCCTGCGGTCATGCTTCACTGTTTTGCACCGGTGTGCCAGGAGCAGCAACTGACACGGGGAGCGTTTGGGCTATCTCAATCTCAATCAGTTCGAACATTTTTCTAATTTTTTGCCTCGCATTCTTTGGTTATGATTATATATCGACCCTTAATTTGAAATAACAGTTCTGAAATAAAGGTAATCCAGTATTTGAATAAATCTAATAGTCCTCCTTGGCCATAAAATTCCCCATTTAATAAATCGCTGTGCAAGTCTCATCTATTGGACCTCAGAAGCAGCATTAATTGTAGGGATGCCGCGAACTTTTTTCGAATCGAAGTTTCGATGATCGAATCAAGTGGTTCGAAAGGTTCGAAAGATTTCGATTTTTCGAATTGTCTATATCGTAAAATTCGACGGAGGTCGAATTTTCGAACTTGTTAAGCTAAGAAGTTCGACGCTTTTCGAACCGTCGAACTTATTACGCTAAAATATTCGATCTTTTTCGAACTTTCGAATTTATTGTGCTGCAAGGTTCGATGCTTGTCGAACTTTCGAACTTGACTGACCAAAAAATTCGATGAATTTCGAACTTTCGAACTTATTTATCAAGAGAATTCGAAAAGTTTCGACCTTTCGAATTCTGAAAAGTCAGAAGTTCGACGAATTTCGAACTTTTAGGGTAAAAGTTCGACGTTCGTCGAACTTCGAAAGACCGGCGGACGGTTTCATTTGATTTCAAGTAGTGGGGTACATTCGTAATTTTTTTTCTCGAACTTTTACACGCGGTGCTGCGTTCCTTACGAAAGACAATGTCGTTTATTTCAATGTTCTGGCATGCTTAGGTTTAAAGAAATAAATCCCCGAAGGGGCGAGGAAGGACGACGGGTTTTTGACGATTATCGTTTGTGCCAGATTTGAAGCACGCTGCAGCCGGAGCTATTCATGGTAGATAAGTTATACTTTTTTTAAGAATGATCTATGTATAGCCTAGGTAAGTGCCGTCTTAAGATGTGATTATTGTTATTCAACGTGAGTTTCGAAGAAATGTCCAAACATGTATCTGCATGCAATTATGACTTAAACTTGATATTTATTTTCGTCTAAGTTGTTTGAGGTATCGCATTTAAATTAACACCACAGACAGTACATATCATTGCCATCTGCAGAAAACAAAATGATATATTTATTGTTTTTTCACGTTAAGGAATAAATTAACTCATGGGAGAAGATTTCTAGTAGTGTTCAAGTTCAGCACGTCATTAAAAGAAAACTTTTTTTTTTTTTCGCTTCACGTTCCTCGGACGTGTTTCTTTTAGCCTGTACACATTTTGGTAAAAGAAACTTGTTTCGAAGTTCTGAACCTCTGAATATGCAAGAATAGAACACTTCCGACGAATTCTTGATAGTTTTTTTTTTTTCTCCTGCTTTTTATTTCCGCATTTATTCTTTTTTTTTTTTTTTTTGTTACTATCGGCACAGGTGTTTAGGTCGAAAAGACAGCTTTGAACTTCCGAACCACTAAGCATGTGACGAGCAGTGCCTTCTGACAACGAGTTTCTAACAATGACCATCTACGCAACCTTTTATGCAGTGAAGAGCGACATTAGCTATACATATGCATAAATAATTTCAGATTAAAATAAGCTCGACCACGCCCTCTTTCCCCGTATTGTTTTCTTTAACAGTCCGAAATACCTGCAAGGGGGAGAAGGAGGCTGAAGCCCCTCCCCCCCCCCTGTCCCCCCCCCCCCCCCCCCCCCCCCCGCTACCCTCTTTCCCCCCGTTTTTCCTCTTCCGACGCCACTTTTATGGTAGAACGCTCCTCGACCTCGAGTTGTGTCGGCTTTAGTGCTTTTTGCGAGGCGATTCCTCCGTCCCAGAAAATAAACCTCCAGGACAATTATAAACTTCACCGGATCGGATTACTACCAGCGTGCAAGGGGTGGCGAGCTAGTTTGCCAGGTCGCTTCAAGGTTTTTCTGAGCCTCAACCTCCTGCTCGCCCCTGGCCGTTTCGAACTGGATGAGTCTCGTAAAACAGTGTGTTCGTGCAATCACTACTGCGTAATAAGAGAAAACTGACTGGAAAAGATTGCAGTTGTGATCTTCCATCGCAGCAATGCTTCGGCTCTTCGGGCAAGATGTTTTAAAAGCTTCTCTCTATGAGAACACCTTTGAACTGGTTCTTCAGGCTCCCTGATCCCGTGACGTGTTCAGTTATTTTCGGCTGTTTTTGACCGTGAAGGCCACTCTCTGTGGTAGAGCATCTAGCATTTTCAAGGCACTCTGCTGTTGCCTCGGCAGTTTCCCAGTGGTCTGGACAGACCCCCAAGGAAGCCTTTGCAGCAGCCGTGTCGTTGTAGCGTCGACATTGCAAAAAACCATATAGGACTACAAGAGACATGACAATGTTTCTGCTGCTTGTTACAACTGCTTGATAGTTATTTATGAATTATCATAAATTAGGAGACCTTAAAACTTGAATGCCTCTTGTAGAACCATGATCGATGGAGAAACTCTTTGGAGGACTCCTACGACTGGGTCTTGGTTAAACTCCTTGGCGATGCTTGACACTAACATGGGACTGAATAAACTTTACTTCCAGGAATCCTGAGCGTGACATCGCGTCCAACCTTTAAGTCCCCCGTTGAGAAACCTAGCCCGGCTGCGAGAAGCCTCGCACTGAAAGGCCATGTGGTGCGCAGCTTCTCAATACTCGCTACAAGACATTGCTTTTGCTAAGAGTTTTTATATTTCCACATCAAAATGTTCTTTTGTAGCCTACCATGGCATTGTACCATCATTTGCACATCTCGAGGTTTATCTGTTCAGGAGTTGGTCCACTTTTGTCCGTGTGCGGGGTCGCTCGACCAGGTGTGCATGCAGCCTCCAAACTTGGTCCGGCTTGTTTTTGAATCGACAGGTGGGGACCACTCTCATCTGAACAAAGATGTAATGGGAGTTGCACGGTAATGTTTGATTTTAGAGGCAATTCCCATGTGCCAAAGTACAGTTAAGATACCTCGCAGGCCTTTGAGAGAGTACTTTTTTCTTTGGTACTTATTTAGGAGAGTGTATGTTTTAGGTTGATTTTAGCTCGAGATAATTTCAATTTACCTTGAAAGTCCGGACTTGCAGTAAAGGCATACTAAATTGAGTAGTTTACTGCAAGGCCCTTGTCAGCTATACTGAGGGAGTGGTGACAGAGGGCGTGCGGTATCCACCTCGTGCCATGAAACTGACAGTCTCAAAGCTTAAAGTCGCGGTGCGGTACCTTTGGAGATGAGGGTTTACATTGTGCAAGCAACTTTTAGGCTATTTTCACCATTTATATGCCTCCGAAAGATTGAAGGTGCTTGTTAATGTAGTGCTTAGTTTTGGCATGCCTTCACTAACCATTTTCAGGTTATCAAGGGGCATTAGAACCTACTCATGTTTTGTTATTGTGTACTTGGCTGTGCATGAATGACACTGTTGTAGATTTATGCTTGTTATGAGTGGTTTGGTGCCTCTGGTACTTGTTTTTTTTTTTGTTGTTGTTAAAATAGGCTTTGTTTTTGTGCAAGGGAGAACTTTTAGTTGTTTTTGGTGACATGCAGCAAGCGAAAACATTACGCATGATAACAGTAGAACCTCATTGATGCATCCTCGGTCTATATGTTTTCCCGACTAGTATAATCACAATTGCCAGTCCAAATGGAACACCTGGGGGTATATGTACCGATTTCCTGTTAATTGCCTTTGCCTTCCCGGCTGTTGAGTCCAGAAACTGTCGTCTGACATGACCGGCACGACGCATTGGGGCACTTGGCCGTGGCTGCCCTCTTTAATTTTGCTCCAGCCGACAGATTTACCTACCCGGTAAGTGTAAGCAAATCTGGGAGCTGGCGAAGGCCAGCTCCCAGATTTGCTTACACTGCATCGATCCCTACACTGCATCGATCCTTACGTGGATCGATGCAGCGTTTACCCAGCCTCAGAGTCCCCCGCCCCCCCCCCTCTCTCTCTCTCTCTCTCTCTCTCTCTCTCTCTCTCTCTCTCTCTCCCCCCCCCCCCCCCCCCGTAAACCAGGCAATGTGTCATTCATGTAAATGTGCCAATGAGTGTGCCGAAATCGAACCTGCTGACTTAGTCCACAAGATTTTCCGAATACGCACCCTGCGGTCATGCTTCACTGTTTTGCACCGGTGTGCCAGGAGCAGCAACTGACACGGGGAGCGTTTGGGCTATCTCAATCTCAATCAGTTCGAACATTTTTCTAATTTTTTGCCTCGCATTCTTTGGTTATGATTATATATCGACCCTTAATTTGAAATAACAGTTCTGAAATAAAGGTAATCCAGTATTTGAATAAATCTAATAGTCCTCCTTGGCCATAAAATTCCCCATTTAAT